AGAGTAAAGGAGGGGAGAAGGAAGTAGGAAGGTTGGAGGAGAGAGTGGTGAAAGAGAAGAGGAGAGGAGAGGAAGAAGAGGGAAGTAGGGAAGAAAGAGAAGGAAGGGAGAAAGAAGGTAGAGAAGAAGGAGTGGGGATGCAGTGAAAGGGGAAATGGGCGAGCAACACCAAAAGTCATGTGTATGTATTTATTTCATTCAAAGTATCTTATATATAAGAATGTAAAAAGAATGTATGTTAATATCTGATAAATATCACGGTATATGTATGGGGGAGAGTTTGGAAAAATAAAAAATAAATTAATAAATTAAAAAAAAATGTTAATAAATAAATAAATAAATCTGCCTTTGAGCCCTTTTGCAATCGGCCGACGGGATCCTTCCACGAGGTCTCACGTCCAGCCGTGGAGAAAAACTGACCCCTGTCGGTAACTTTCAGATTATCCCAAACGGGTTCCTGGTTTTTCCTCTCTCTCCCCCCCCCCTTTGAAAGACAGCTGCTTCCAGTTTTACAGCAGCGCACGGGAAATGTTGCAACCCAGAGACGAAGTCAAATTCAAGGCATGTCTTCTCGCGCTTCCCCCCCCCCCCGCCGCCCCACCTTCCACCCCACCACATTAAATTCTGAGCATACTTAGCTGCAGCTTTCCTTTTAAGGTCAAAACCTTCCCGCAGGAGCTTCGGATCCCAGCATCTTTTAGCAGTGGGAGCGTCTCGGTAAACAAACATACATCAAGGCCAGCCAAGCGGGTCCTTTTTCAAGAAGGTTAAGAGGAGTGACGGCCGAACATCTGGGGCAAAAGGCAGATTTACCCCCCCCACACACACACACACACTGCTTCTTTGAAGGAAGTTGGCATTTGGGGCCTGGGCAACAGTGGGGATTGTGGGCCACTGAACGGGGCAACTTGACTTTCTTCCTGCAGAAGTCGAAAGGAGCGTGTGAAAAATCCGAGGGCCCTGTTTCTTGTTTATAAACGGATAGCCTACTTTCCCACTCGGCCTGCCTGCGAGCCTCTCCTAGCAGAAATAAAAGAGTAATTTCGGACAGATTTTTGAGACCCGTGGTGTAGCTGTGATTGGTCTTCTAGAGCAGGGCTATTATCTCAAGTCTTGGCGAGTTGAAGGTGAGTGGACTTCAACTCCCAGAATTCTCAGCAATGTGGGCGAGAAACAACGGTTGGAAACTGATCAAGGAGAGAAGCAACCTGGAATTAAGGAGAAACTTCCTGACAGTGAGGACAATTAACCAGTGGAACAGCTTGCCACCAGAAATCGTGGGTGCTCCATCACTGGGGGTTTTTAAGAAGAGACTGGACAGTCATTTATCTGAAATGGTATAGGTCCTCCTGCTTGAGCAGGGGGCTGGACTAGAAGACCTCCAAAGTCCCTTCCACTTCTATTCTACTCTACTCTACTCTACTCTACTCTACTCTACTCTACTCTACTCTACTCTACTCTACTCTACTCTACTCTACTCTACTCTACACTACACTCTACTCTACTCTACTCTACTCTATTCTGTTGACCAAGACTGGGAAACACTGTTCTAGGGTAAAACTTGGAGGCACACTTTATGTTAGTTTATACCAGTGATGGCGAACCTTTTAGAGACTGAGTGCCCAAACTGCAACCCAAAACCCACTTATGCATCGTCCAGTGCCAGGTGGGCATGGCCCATTGGCTGGGTGTGACCCATTGGCTGGGCGTGGCTGCAGTGGTAACAGCAGACTGGGTGGGACTAAAAAGTTCAATCAATTCCAACTTTGCAAGATCTTTTTTTTTCCTGCGAGAAGTTGAAATTGACTGAATCTTTTTTTTTTTTTGCACATGGCGGAGGCCTAAAGCAAAAAAGTTTTATAAAACCCAGCTGAAGGCCTAGGACTGGGGCGACGGCGCATGTGCCCACAGAGAGGGCTCCGAGTGCCGCCTCTGGCACCCGTGCCATAGGTTCGCCACCACTGGTTTATACCTTCCATAGGCAACAATTCCAAAAGAGTGATGACTGAGTAGGTGGAAGAAGGACAGATCATCCGAAGTGTCTTCAAAGCACTTATTTTGCTTCCATGTCTAGAAAATAACTTCAGTGAATATTTTTCTTGGGGAAAAAAATAAAACTGGGAAATTGGTGCAGACACCGAGCACCAATTTCTGAGAAATACGCTCAAAGAATATTTCATCCTTTTGATATTTAGTTCCTTAGAACCACCATTTTGGATACAGCAGACCTCAACGTTCTCATAAAAAATAAAGACCAAATTCCGTCTTAGAAAACTGTGAGATCACACCGTTTAGAAATGTGATGTCCATTTATTTCAGAAATAAATAGTAATAATAAAAAAGAAACATCAACACACGCAGTCCTCCTGTTTTCTGGGATAACGCTGTACAGGTAATCCTCAACTTACGACTGTAATTGAACCCTAACGTTCCATAGCTAAGCAAGGCAGTTCTTAAGTGAGTCACACCCCATTTTATGACTTTTTTTGGCATCGTTGTGAAGTGAATCGCTCATTTGTTAAGTAAATCTGGCTTCCCTTATTGACTTTGTTTGCCGGAAGCTCCCTAGAAAGGATGCAAATGACAGTTCCCCAGGACCTCAAGACACTGCGTCCATCGTAAACACAGGTCGGTTGCCAAACGCCCAAATTTTGATCACATCACCGTGATTATTTGAGGGGCTGCCACAAGGCAGAGGGGGCCAGGTTGTTCACCAGAGCACCAGAGGGAAAGACAAGAAACAGTGGTTGGAAACTGATCAAAGAGAGAAGCAACCTGGAATTAAGGAGAAACTTCCTGACAGTGAGGACAATTAACCAGTGGAACTGCTTGCCTCCAGAAATCGTGGGCGCTCCATCACTGGAGATTTTTAAGGAGAGACTGGACAGTCACTTGTCTGAGATGGTATAGGTTCTCCTGCTTGAGCAGAGGGCTGGACTAGAAGACCTCCAAGGTCCCTTCCAGCTCTGCTCTATTCTATTCTATTCTATTCTATTCCATTCCATTCCATTCCATTCCATTCCATTCCATTCCATATTTTCTATTCTATTCTATTCCATATTTTCTATTCTATTCTATTCTATTTTCTATCCTGTAATTCAATTCAATTCAATTCAATTCAATTCAATTCTATTCTATTCTATTCTATTCTATTCTATTCCATTCCATTCCATTCCATTCTATTCTTATCCTGTAATTCTATTCTATTCTATTCTATTCTATTTTCTATCCTGTAATTCAATTCAATTCAATTCAATTCTATTCTATTCTATTCTATTCTTATCCTGTAATTCTATTCTATTCTATTCTATTCTATTTTCTATCCTGTAATTCTATTCTTTTCTATTCTATTCCATTCCATATTTTCTATTCTATTCCATTCCATATTTTCTACTCTATTCTATTTTCTATCCTGTAATTCAATTCAATTCAATTCAATTCAATTCAATTCAATTCAATTCAATTCAATTCAATTCAATTCAATTCAATTCTACTCTACTCTACTCTACTCTACTCTACTCTACTCTACTCTACTCTACTCTACTCTACTCTATTCTCCCAAGGTCACCCATCTGGCTTTCATAGCTAAGGTGGGACTAGAACTCACCATCTCCTGGCTTCCAGCCTGGTGCCTTAACAGACCAAACTGACTCTCTAATATGGCTGATCCCCATCCTAAACCAATGCTTGAACTGATCCATTCTGGAGGCAGAGCAAATATTATTAATGTGGAAGTCGGTGAGAAATTGTTTCGAACACTTACTTGTGACAAAGAATTTTTTAGTGAAAGTGCAGCTGTCAAAGGCAGCAATCTTCTCTTGCAAAACGACGACAAGAATCCTGAAAAGACACACAAACCGTACATATGTACAAAATAAAGAATACCTGAAATGCAAAATGCTTTTTTAAAAAAAAGTGCTTCCCCTTTCTCCCCTCTTTTTGTAATGGTTTCGCCCAAGAGATCCATGCAGGTCAATCATTTATATATAAATAAATAAATAAATAAATAAAAGATGTTTAGATGCCCAGGAGAATGAGGAGAGAAAGATGCCTTAAGAAAAACTGTCAACTTCACACAAAGTATTTCAATGGGATATTTCAGTGTATTGGCTGTTCATTGCATTTTTTGTAAGCTGCCTCGAAAAAAGCAAGGTTAAACTTGACAGTAGTTGTTTTATTGCTTTTTTTTTTTAAGAGGAAGGGGGTGACTGCGGTCATTAAGCAGAATTTCAGTTTGCACGAAGAAAAAGAAACTAGTATTTTTACCAAGGAGCTGATAATTTGCTTTAACTTAATTCTGTGGAACTTTTACTGTATTTATATGGAACGTGTAGCTTTATACAAAAATATAAAAAAGGGCAGTTGACCTGTGTTGTAACTTTAAATGAGTATTTATAAGGCACAGAAATTAAAGGATGAGACAGAAATGTTTGTCATATTAAATTAAAAAAATAAGAAAACCAACCAAAATATCTCTCTAGCTTTCTGTTTCTCTTCTTTCTTTCCTTTCTTTCTCCTTTCCTTCTATCTCCCTTTTTTTCTTCTCTCTATTCTCTCTTCTTCCTTCCTTCCTTTCTTTCTTCCCTTTCTCTCTCTCTCTCTCTCTCTCTCTTTCTCTCTCTCTCTCTCTCTTTCCTTCCTTCCTTCCTCTTTTCCTACTCAAGTGGTCTTGAACAACAAGGGTCAGCAAAGTTGCATTTTGTAGCTAACAGCAGATTCGACAGAGTGAAACTTTTAGATGTATAACATGACAAGGTTTGTGATGTTCAAGGGAAACAATTAGGGCACCCATGATCCTATTGCCAACAATAAATTGCTGGAGAGAATGAAGGGGAGGGGGGGAAACCGAGACCGTACCTTGTTAACAAAACGGGCATTATACCTCATGTAATTTTTTTAAAACACTCATTTGCCCTGGCAGTTCAGATTGAAAATCCATCAAAAGCACCCTGTATATTAATCTGAAAAGTGTTTCATCCTCAAAAAATAATCATATTGCTGGGGGTTTTTTTTATTGCAAATCTGCTGGGCCTAATAGCCAGGCCTTATTTGCTAAAAGTGTTTTTCCTTGCTTTGACCTCCGCTGCCTTCCGTACAATGGAATTAAGAGGAGGAGAGGAGGGGAAAAAAAATCACTTTATGTAATTACCAGGACACGAAATACAAAGACAAAATGTACCAAACAAAATCTCAAGAAGGGGGGGAACGATGGGGAGCTGGGTTTGAGGGGTTCTCTGAACAAGAGACCCTCCTTTTCACCCCTCAGAATACACATCTCATTTATGTCCACAAACTTTCTATCCATCTCCCTTTTGCTCTGCAGAGAATTTCCCCAGGGGGGAAAATATATATATATATTTCTCTTTGTCTGTCCCAGGAACAGAGGAAACGTCTTTATAACAGGCTATTCACTCTTTAACTCCATAATATCTGCCCTCAAGCTATCTTTCTTAACTCTCATGCAAAAGGGAACTCTTCCCATCGTTTCCAGAAGGGCAAGGAGATATTTTGCAAAGAAGAGAAGTGTGTAAAAATGCACCTGGGAGCTGTAGCATGTTGGGCCTCTCCTCAAATGTGCCCCTCATTACAAACTTAGCTGTCACTTTACGCCAGGGGTCTCCAAACTTGGCAACTTTGGTTACTGGCATCAAATTCCTGGATGTGCAGCTAATGAGCAAGCTGGCTTGGTCGCTCAATAGCGAGACACTGGTGAAGTGGGCACAGCAGCGCCTGCATTTTCTGCGCCGCATGAGAAAAGCACATCTTCCTTCCCCTGTCCTGACCACTTTCTACAGGGGGACGATTGAGAGCATCCTGTCATGCAGCATCACAGTCTGCTTTGGAAGCATCCCTGCTTCAGACAGGAAGGCAGTGCAGAGAGTGGTGAGGACGGCAGAAAAGATCATTGGCAGTTCCCTCCCTTCCATCCAGGACATAGCACAGAAGCGTTGCTTGAGCAGGGTCCGTAAGATCATCTGGGACACTACACATCCTCTTCACAACCTGCTTTCCTTGTTCCCTTCGGGGGGGGGGCTCCGTGGTATCCGAAGCAGAACATCCAGATTCAACCATAGTTTCATTCCATACAGCATTAACCTCGTGAACTCTCAAGCTTCCTCCTTCCGTTATGTATTCAAGATGGACACCATTTAATATTTATTTTTTATGTATATGTAGGGGTGGGGGTCTATACATATGTTGTATATAGTATGTTTTAGGTGTGTGTGTCATGTATGTGTTTCACTTTGAGAGCGGGCAACTCAATTTCATTTTTGATGTGTGCCGTTGTGCCCACAGTAAAAAAATGACAATAAAGGTTACCTTATCTTATCTTATCTTATCTTTAACATTTGTGGACTTCAACTCCCAGAATTCCCCAGCCAGCATACCGAGATGAGAGGGGTATTTTTTTTTCTACCTTTCTATTTAAATACATTTATGCATAAAAGAAGCCAATCTGGGGCCTTTTCTTTCATCAGTACCAAATCTTCCAGCCCCATTCTTTTGAACAGGAAGTTGAAATAACATGAAGTGACTGCAATCAAAGGAGAGAGCTTTAAAAATACTGGATGGGAAAGGTATTTGGAGATCAAAAGAAATTACCTTCTGTTGCAGTGGAGATCATAAATCGGTGTTTTGAACTGCACGGATTTGACCACTTCCCCTGTTCTCAAAGAATGGAGATCTACGCAGCAGTAAGGAGGGCTGGTCCTGAAAGAGAAATTAAGAAAATATAAAAACCAAAAGCCCACATTTTGGGTAGTAGAGAGGATCTCTGGTTTGAAAGAGTGGTACAAGAATATCATCTCTGCTTGAATCGAACATCAAAAACAGCCACTGTGAGAGGGACCTTGGAGTCCTAGTGGACGATCACTTGACCATGAGCCAGCAGTGTGCAGCAGCAGCCAAAAAAGCTAATACAATCCATAAAGAGAGACATAAAATCAAGATCACGTGAAGTATTAGTACTGCTTTATAAAACCCTAGTGAGACCGTACCTGGACTACTGCAACCAATTTTGGTCACCACGCTACAAAAAAGATGTTGAGACCTTGGAAAAAGTTCAGAGAAGAGCAACTAAGATGATCCAAGGCCTGGAGACTAAAACATACAAAAAACGGCTGCGGGACTTGGGTTTGGCTAGTCTAAAGAAAAGAAGAAATAGGGGAGACATGATAGCAGTGTTCCAGTATCTGAGGGGCTGCTACAAAGAACAGGGGGTCAAACTATTCTCCAAAGCACCAGAGGGCAGGACAAGAAACCATGGTTGGAAACTGATCGAAGAGAGAAGCAACCTGGAATTAAGGAGAAGCTTCCTGACAGTGAGGACAATCAACTAGTGGAACTGCTTGCCTCCAGAAATCGTGGGCGCTCCATCACTGGAGGTCTTTAAGAAGAGACTACTACACAGTCACCTGTATGAGATGGTATAGGTTCTCCTGCTTGAGCAGGAGGCTGGACTAGAAGACCTTCAAGGTCCCTTCTATTCTATTCTATTCTATTCTATTCTATTCTATTCTATTCTATTCTTCCTGTTTCTATTCTATTCTATTCCTATTCCTATTCCTATTCCTATTCCTATTCTATTCTATTCTATTCTCAATAAAGATTCTATTCTATTCTATTCTAGTCTAGTCTAATATTATTCTATTCTATTCTATTCTCAATAAAGATTCTATTCTATTCTGTTCTGTTCTGTTCTTTCAATAGAGATGGGAGGAAAAAGACACCACCTATCTCCAGTTTGCAACGTAGTTCAAAGAAGATCCCACCACCAATTGCACCCTGATTCAGGGGACCCTGAGAGCACAGATAAACCCCCAAGTAGCCTCAACGATCCTCAGGGAGAGTGCTAACGAGCAGATGACTGTAAAGAAATACAGGCAGTCCTCAACGTACGACCAAAATTGAGCCCAACATTTCTGTTGTTAAGTGAGACATTTGTTAAGTGAGTTTTGCCCACAGATCTCATGGCTCAAGAGACGGATAACACAGCTGCTGGTGTGTCACCCCCCCCAAGTGCAAAGAACCCAGGTTCACTTTAACAGACTCTTGACTGATTTTAACATCAAGGCACAGCACGCGCTACTTTTATCACTTTAATACAAATAAGGTGGCCCGGCGATTCCTTTGTAAAAAGCCAGATTTCTTTCAACGGGAAGAGTGCCGAAGGGGGCAAAAAAAAGATTGCGATGAGTGCAGTTTGGCAAGCCAGAAAAAAAAAAAAAGCTTTGATCTGGCAGTTCGCAGGGCACCTATTCCCTCCTCCCCTCCCGTCGGAAAGGTGGGCCGTTTCTAGGCTCTGCACGCCCAACAGTTGCAGAGAATGACCAGCTGTGTAAATACCTCCCAAGAAATATCAAAAAGAAGAGATTCACTAGAGCCAGCTGTACACAAATAGGAGATTATGGCAT